TAAAATCAAAAATCTACAGGTGGTAGGGGCAGTCAATAATACAACAATATACAATTAATCATACACCCCGCCCCCCACCTCCAATATCTAGGAAACTTTATAAGATGATTATGATTTATATAAATCCTTAATAGAATTTTTTGTTTCCTGCATAGAACTAGATGAACGCAATTAACGAATAATTACTTGTTTTTCAAGATTTTACACCATAAGTGTTTCTTTTTTCAATATTAACCTATCTGAAGCACACTGATTAATATTATTAGTATAATGTCCCTGAAAACCAATGTGATTGTGTTTCTGGTTGAAGGATGAAGAATGAAGGATGGGTTTGATCTTATCACCATTTTTCTCTAGGTCATGGTCGAAGCTTACGCTTACGCTTCCTTGTTTTGATAATATTTTCTTTTTTTCTCACACTTCTTGTTTTTCATTCAAGTTTTTACATTCTTAGATAAATTTAAATATATTTCTCTGATTAATAATCTGTCCTCCACAATGCAGTGATTCTCGTTATCCAAAAGGTTGCAAGCTCTCAAGCAAATCGATGAGAATTTTGCCAATTATTTCTTTAGAACATAAACGAATAACAAATGCTTTATAGTTCTTGAATGTCTTAATCAACTTTTTCTAGTAGTCGGACCTCCCTTCTATCCTTGCCTGTTGCAAATACACTCACTAAACCATTGCATGATCATATAGCCTGCATGCAAATATCGAAAAATTGAATTTTTGCCAAAGTGCACAAACTGCATAGTTCGTGCGTAGGTTAATAGAGTAAACCCTGGCAGATGGGATATCATGATATCTCGGAAATATTGATGATGTATCAACTGATCTATAAGGAAGCAGGACTTATTTTTTCCTGACAAAATATGGGTATCTACCAGAATACCGATATTACTCAGTAGTTGGGTTTACTTTTGTATCATTGCCATCATTGAAATATTAATATTTGATAGACAAGACGCCGATGATAAAATTACAATCTGTATGGGCACCATTATTAAAGAAAAAGGTTGGTACGCGCTCAAACATACACCTCGCGTCATTTCTGACAGGATATTCGGTATGCAAATTTACACTTGGCTGATAAAGGGAGGTGGGGCGGGGGGGGGGGGGGTATGTGGAAAACCGGTTTTGATTGTTTGATCGGTATTCAGATCTCTACACATACCTTGTCAGGGTTCGTCTTCTTCAATACTCGAAACAGGAGAGAATAGATAAAGAGGAAAAAGAAATTGCGGATTTTCTTTTAATGCCTAAAAATTTGATGGAACATTTATAAAAATGAAATGAAGGAAAATGAATTGTTTCGATATATGTAGAAAAGAGGGAAAAGAAATTCAGGGTTGGTTAATAAAAATGAAGAGAAAAATTATGAAAAATGGAGAGAAAAGAAATTGTGATGTTGGAAGGAAGGGTTGAGGAGATTTTGGTAGGGATTGTTGAAGGTTGAAGATTTAGGAGGATAGAAGGAAGGAAAAGGGATTGCATTGTTGATGTTGGAAGGGAGGAGGGTGAAAAAATAATCTGGAAATGATGGAGGGGGGAAAGAGGAAGAGAGGGAAAGGACTTAATCTTGGGGGAGGGATCGA